TCAAAGTCTGTTATTCATGTGTTTTATTCTGTCTTTAATTAGGGAAAATTTGCTGGATAAAAGTACCTATATAAGTAATAGTAAATACCTCAAGGTATCGATACTTTTATGAGTTCAGGGTCAAGAGCACGTTAAGCTTGACACTTAAGATTTAAATCCAACTCTATGCCGCTTACGATAACAACGATCCAAAGTAGACATGGGGAATAGCGTTACATTTCTATCGCCGTGACTGTCGTTCCGGTTCCAAAAAAATCACAGTGATAAATCATCGTGATTTTGTCACGACTGTTACTTCCGTGACCTTGTCACGCCTATAACTTACATTACGATGTACGGTTTTAGCCAGAGCGGCTTCTTTCTAATACTTATAGCCGTTTTTTATAGAATGATTTAAGTTTTTGCTCCCTATGTAATAAGTTTCAATTCCATTCAAAAAGTTGATTTTGTATTTAATGTAATTTTGTTTTTACTTATTTAATGCCAATCTTTGGATTGTTAAAAATAGCAATAAAATGTAATGTAATTATATTTCTAGTAGAATATACAAAGTAGATTATACATAAATATAAAATACCAACTCTTCCTATAATAAAACAAATATACAAAAATATTTTACTTTGTTCATAAATAAGTTTATAATAACTGCCGCAGATTTTTTTCATCCGCCCTTTCTAGTAGTAATAAGCACCTACGACACTTGTGAGTGAGCAAAGAAAGTGATCCTATTTCATTCACTCCCATCGCCGGAATGGCCCGATTTGAAGAGAACTACAACGAGTGGCGCGCTCAGTCACCACGGAATGGAGGTCGCGCATTGTATCGAATACCTATGTCGAGATGTGAGTGACGGAGATAGCTATTGGAACGGAGGAACACCTAAGTCACAGTGATACTGTTTGACGGCGGATCATCGTGATTTTTTCATCGCGACGTTATTTATCACCCACCTCTAATCCAACGTACAAAGTGTCAAGCTTGACGCTCTTGACTGTACAATACTTTTTATGCGATACTACTCATGAGTACACTATCGATACTTTTGATTCGATAAGGGACACAGGTCCCTACCCCTGATCCTCACACTGTAATTTTTCTTGAATAGTTAAAGTTTTTGATATTTTTTCGGGAAATCGTTATATCTTGACGGTGACCGTTTTGAAACTCAAACTTACGAGATTTTGTAAAAAATTCTATTTTTGTTTTTTACTACTGTAAAAAAAAATAGTTGGCACGTTCGCTATATTTAATAAAATAGCTTAAAAACACAACATAAATGTCATAATTAATAAAAATCCACCCCTACTTCAAAACTCATAAATTTACAAATTGTCTCATTTGTGATAGCATGAGATTGTACAGCAGTTTTTAATATTTTTTATCAAAATTTTTTTTTTTCGCATTTTGTTGTGTCCTTTCAGAACAAGACTTCCAATATCGTGTAACATTATCCTGTCGGGTCGGCATAAAATAGGCGTAGAAATGACATTATCACTTTTTTGCATATTATTTAGCTATATTCATTATCCGTGGTGACCACAAAAATTACTTTCTAGCAAAATCTTCTTTTGCTTATTGGCGCTAATCCTTTTAGCAATTCGCCAATATCGAGATTTTCGCTAAGTAACTATAAATATAATTATTGTATAAACAATGTAAAAAATTCGACGATCATCACCTATGTCCAAAAATATTAATTTTGTACTTGCATAATAATAAAAAAAATTAAATATGAAACGAAAATAGCCTTGTCTATACTAGAGCAACTGTCATTAACGTCAGTCAATATGCGACCAGTCAGTCAATCGAATTGATTTCGAACGAGTGGATGCCGTGTTCATAAAATATCAAGTTAATTAATCTAATAATCGAATAACGATATATTAGTTTGTTAAACAAAGTGCTGACTTTCTGAAAATATGGATGATAACCGGGCAGAGGGCTGGAAGTATTTAAATAAGCAGTTTTTCGGTGATGGTTTGTAGCAATATTTTCTGTTTTGTAAAGTGATGTTTCGAGGAACTATTAGGAATAAACATCGTGCTATACCGTACAATACGGTATATTGTTGATTTGACTACATAGTGCGCTTGAAATTTCCGCTATAGTTTCACTGTACATATGAAGTTTATGTACATGATAAGCCCGGGTCATTAATAATCGCGAAAACCGACTGTTTATTGGTTATGTTTAACATTTACAAGATAAGAGTTCTGTAACGTTATCTATGTGATATAAGGTTAATGATTTATGGTTAAGTAAAGTGTTTGCGAAGGAAAAGTAATAAACTTTATTAATCTTCATAATCTTTTTTATTAAAATTCACTACAAGTTATTGAAAATGAATTGATTGCTGTAGTGTGGTATAACACTGTTTTGATATTATATTTGATAGAAGAATGATATTGTCTGTAACGGCCTAGTAGGTTTTAATTTTCTAGATATATCTTAGGCTTTTTTTGATGAATGACATAAAGCTACACTCACTGGCACATTTAGTGTAACAAAAACCAAAGAGATTTTAAAATAGTGCCATGTATATTTAGTTACAGCCTTATCAACCATTATTGAAAAAAAAAAAACAAAAATTAAACGATATACATTTTATTTCAGATTTTGTGAAAAAGTAGAAACAGCTGAAAATTCATTATTGTAACAATTAGACACTTATTAACTTTAGCAAATAAAAAAGTTTTAAAGTTAAGTTTATGAATTGTACACGGTGTGCAATTTGAGCCTTAAATCAACCTTAAGGCACTCGACAAACCTGTTTTTTTATGATAGCAAGTAATAAGACAAACAAATTGTGCATCTGGTGGTAAGAGACACGCCTGACCATACCAGTAGAAGTGCCAGTCAGAGCTTTAAATCGCAAAGATCTGTGGGGCATTGCCACTACTCCTAGCACTGTGTGACAAGTTGACAAGTCCCATGTGCCTATAAGTTCACCCTTACCTTTCATAATTCTAACTCAGTGATGCTCACATTACTGCTTGGTGATGTAAAGTGCAGTACTTCCCTGGACAAACTTTTTCACAAGCAGCTCCATTGCTGCTTAAAAATTGAAACAAACCAATAAAAAAATTACAGTTTAATTTCTTATTTTCAAGTAAGACCTATAATAAAAAGTAATATAACTGACCAAACTTTTGTAAAAACGCTGCATTGTTAAATTAGTGTCCCGCTAAATATGTAGTGTGCATTTTTCTTCTTGTCTGTCAGACTGGAATATGAGTGTAGATAATAAATGGATGGAAATATTATGACATTATTGTCTGACCGCATCCAGTTTGAATAAATATGTAGAGGCCACTTCTAAATACAACTTAGCAGGCATAAACAAGGAGTGACGCACATGCGACCTCATTATGATTATGTATAAATTCTCTGGAATTTTAATAGATAAATTTAAGCACCTTCATGATTATCATGCAATTCTTTCACTAACTAAAAACTGATGTCACATTTTGACTTGATTTTATTTTTTTATGTCCAATGGCAGTTTTATCCAACCTGAACAGTACTAAATTCTCCTTCAAAATATGTTTCAAATGCACGGATCTAAACCCAACATGGCAAATTAATTCAATGAAACTATTTAATTCAAGCTTTCAACTACATATGTTTAATTAAACAAAAAGCAATGCCATAGTACAGGATTTACCTAGCTTGGGCTACTGTCTTCCATATCAAAGTTCTATGTTAAAACATTCATTATATATTTTGTACATTTTCAGAGATCAAAAATTAACTATCATTTCTAAGTCTCTCTGCAAAATGAATTTAATGTAGTGTATTACTATTTGTCTTATGTATTCTATGCATTTACATATTATTATGCAAATTATTAAATTGTAAACAATATGAAAACTTTAAACATACATTGTATGTTTGTACAGCTTTTTATTCTATTATATTCAATATGTCAATATTTTTTAAAGATAGTAAAAGCTATAAACGATAAACATCTTAATTCTCTTGATATATTGACTATATTTTATAAATCGACAAAAATGGGAATTATGAGTCAGCAATTAGCACTGTGGGTGCTAGATGGGGAGGTCTTGGGTTCTATTCCGTACATAGGCTACGTACCTAAGTTATAAACCAAAATTGTTTTAATTGGTTCTGGGCCAAATGTTCCAGGTAGTAATTTTTCCAGAGGAAATTTCGTTACTTTGTTACTAATGGTACAGGGAATTTCCTAGACTGTGACCAGATTAATTGATCCTTCCATATTAGAGAAGACTAGTTTATTCAGAGATATCTTTTAATAACCAAAGGAAGTTATTTATGCAAGTTTCTTACTTAGAATAAGATATTTTGTTGTTATAATATTTGAAATGAGCTAGATACGAACTTCGTATGGATGGATGTTTCTCAATCACTCGTAATTAGATTTAAATGAAAATTGATAGATAGACAGTTTTTTGCCTTGATTAATACACAGCATTATTTTTAGAGTTATAATGATGTTGTAAGCAACAATATATAAATAGCTTGTATCCCTATTTACAATGGCTATTGCAAACCAACAACTAAAATCCATAGATCGTATACTTTAATGTATCGGCGATTGTATATATTTCAAAGTATACAATTAGTATATGGATTGTATATTACAATAACACGTTTGAAGGAAAGGAAGGAAATTGAAAGTGTACATGTTTGATACTTCATCAACTATTATAAGACCTAAATATAACTACATGTTTTGCTATAAACGTTTATTATTATTATTATTATTATTATTATTATTATTATAACAGTTTGTATTTTCTAAGGTACCTTTACTATACCTTTGGATTACCGGTTTGTATAAAAGAGTAAACATGTAGACCAAATAGGGTCTATCCATGTTTTAAAGTCTATCGAAAGACAATAAAGAATCATTGATCGAATTTTTTATTTTACTTTAAAAAAAATTTGACTCGAATTATTGCAAAATATATTTTGTAGTTGGTGAAGTGTATTTTAAGATATAACGTTGGTTGTTTCAGGGGAACGAGCGAACTACGTAAATATACCGCATGTGATTGCAATGGTGGGGCTGCCCGCACGTGGCAAGACTTACATTTCAAAAAAGCTTTCGCGGTATCTAAACTGGATAGGAATTAATACTAGAGGTGAGTTTATGTTTTTGTAGTTTTTTGCGAACTCTCGGACATGTAATTCGAGGCACCTTGCATTTTCAGTATTTAATACCCTAAGCTTAAGGCGAGGTATTTGGATGCGAACCTGGATTTTAGAAGGTTGAGATATGGGGGCCGCCTCTTGCGTCCTGCATACCTGCGTCCCTCCTTCCTCCCCCCTGATATTTATTCTTCGGGGGCTAGCACAAATCCGACATTGATAAGCGCCCAATGGCGATTGACGGGGCAGCAGACGGCGCGGCGTGTCGTTAAACCGCAGGGCAATTTTCAAGTTTTGGGATGAATACGAATTCAATCATTATAGGACCTCAGTTGAAAATCAAAATGTAGCAGGTTCTCTGTAGTACTTTAAGAGAAATATCTCCATATAAAAACTATGTGTAAGGTTAGATATTATTTTATTCTTAAATAATTTGCTTTAGACTTTTATGTTGTCCTGTTGTCGGGATTTTATATGTCGAATAAAATACAGAAAGATGGGACCATCTTGTAACGAATTATCACAGTCTTTAGACAATATCTTTAGGTGTATCCTATATTTTTAGTAAGACCGTTATTTGATAGTAAATACCTAAACCATTTATGAAAACAGATTTTCCCGCTTCTCTTCCGGTGGCTCGACTTAAACAACGGTTTATTGCTTAAAAACTGGTATGCTTTTTTGAAACTGGTATACTAAACGTTATTTCCACAAGTCCTTGTTTAAAATTAGAATTTGTAAAACCGGTTTTCTTCGATGATAACAATATTTTTGTATTCTCTTGAAGAATAATAATTTAAAAAATCAACCTCAAAAGGATGTAAATACATCTATTTGCCAAGTTTTGTTGAAACCGGTAAAGGGAAAGTGGGTGAAATTAAGTTAAATCCAGTAAACCGGATACATCCCCTGATTTGCTACCCTTAGAGGTGAAATAGTTTCATCAAATTTGAATGGTACCACTATCGAAGTAACACCCTTTCCAACAAAAAAAAGCATCTTCTAAATCGCGTAACATCACACAAATAAACAACAATCGAATTGAGAACCTCATCATTTTTATGAAGTCGGTTAAAAATGCAAAGTGGCTCGAATTATGTGCGCGGGAGTGTATTTCTTTCTTATCTTATAGAACTGCAATATATTACATTTTCCTTTCCTTCGCGACTCGGAAGATTTATACTTTTCCCAAAATTTTCTATCAAAAACATCTGAACTGAGTAAATTGAATAAACGGAATAAACATTTTAAAAAAATTAACAAAATTAATTTAAAAAACTGAGCATAGTCGTACTGCTCTCTTCCCTGCTCGTGTGGATCAACTGGTTTCTTGGCATATAATTAACTTTTAACGTCACTCCAAATGAAATAAGGATACTCATAGAGTTCTTAGGTTTTCGCGATTGTTACCATAGGAAATGGATTTTCTTTGTTTTTCAAACAGCCCAACGTTTCAGGCCTTTTACAAGTCCCATGGTCACGAGTGAGATGGTAAAGTCGTCAACCGATTATATCTGAATGCTAAAATTCAGTTTAGTATCACAATTATATCAAACACAAAAAGTAGTTTTTGAGTAAACTGGCAAAATTTTAAAACATACACTTTAAACTGGTAAAATACATACATCGGTCACAATATGCCAATATGACAAAATTCTATTTGTAATTTTAAATTTTTATTGAATTGATATTCAATTATTTTTTGTGAAGTTACTCCACTAGTTTGTTATAATTATTAATACAAAGATCGAACACTCAGAAAAAATTCCTTCGATCCGGCCGGATTCGAACCGACGTCTTCTAGCATACTGGGCCAGACACTATACCAACTAAGCAACGGAACGAACCTCACGAATTTTTCTATGTGCTTGCGTCGTGTCTTTGTATTTGATTTTTCAACGACTTTTTAGTCGTAGCGCCTTCTATTTGTAACTTTAGCTGCTGGTACCTGTAAAGAAATGCACCTGGCTGAAAGAAGAAATAGATACCTCACAGATGGCGCTACGGGAAAAAGTCGTTAAAAACCAAAAACAAACATTTGCATCAAGCACATAGAAAAATTCGTAAGGTCCGCTAGTTCGTTCCGTGACTTAGTTGGCATAACGTCTGGTACGGTTTGATAGAAGACGTTGGTTCGAATTGGTTCGAAAAAAGTTGGGTAGTCATTGGACGCTCAACGGAGAACACTTAAAATAAAACATTAAAACAATTGACATAATTATGCAGTAAGTACCTAATTCACCGTCACGCGTGTCACGACTGGTGCAATCGGGACTTGCTCAGCTTTAGCCACAATCGGTTTTTTAACCGACTTCAAAAAAAGTACTGTGTTTTCTTATGTATGTTACGCGCTAACTCTGGCATTTGTGAACCGATTTTGGTGATTCTTATTTTGTTGGAAAGAGGGTACCTCAGTAATGGTGCCATTTAATCTTGAAGAAAATATTCCACCTCTAAGGGTGGCTGTTCACGCATGAAATCTTATTTTTATTGATAGCGCCTAAATTTTATTAGGAGCAATTATTTTAATGGTTGATTTTTCTATATCCAATTGAAGGCGTTTTTCTCTCGATATACAGTGAGCACCGATTTTTATTATCTCTTGTGTTGTTATATCCCGCATAATCCAGTTTCGCGCACTTTCCGGTAACCGATTTCATGCTTGGCAAATAGATGTAATCCACGAACTTTTAAGGTCGGTTTTTTTAGTATTGTGTACGGAGATTATTTTTAAACCGTTTCGTAGCTCTGTATTTCAACAAGCCCGAGGCGAGTGAGCCACTGACAACAAGACACTGAAATAAAGAAATCAACAATAAATAATTAAACAGATAACAAAACTTACATAATAGGAAGTGTACACGTCGCACACAATTCCGATAAAAAATTATATACAACTGTGAACGTAGAGCGAAACAATATGCAATTATAATTCTTTAACATATGAAACGGTAATTAAATTTGTATTGAATTGATATTCAATTTGTGAAATTACTCCACTAGTTTGTTATAATTATTAATACAAAGATCAGAAAAAATTCCTTCGATCCGGCCGGATTCGAACCAACGTCTTCTAGCAAACCGTGCCAGACGCTCTGCTGACTAAGCCACGGAACGAACCAGCGGACCTTACGATTTTCTCTATGTGCTTGTTTGTCGGATCTTTGTACTTACTTGGTTTTCAATAACTTTTTAACCGTAGCGCCATCTATTAGAAATCTTTGAAAGTATTTCGTCACCCAAAACATGAAATGGTATTTTAAATTTAATCGATCTTTACAACATCGCAGTATTCAATCTGGGCGAGTACCGCCGCCACGCGACGACGGCGTATACGAGTCATGAGTTCTTCCGCGCGGACAACAAAGAGGCCATGGCGATCCGACAGCAGTGCGCGTTAGATGCGTTGCACGATGTCTGCGAGTGGCTCACCAAGGGAGGAGAAGTCGCAGTTAGTACACCATACTTTTATACTATATATATATTTTTACAAAACGTACACATCTACCTATCGGACTTTATTATCAACAATCAATCAAATAATCTTTATTTCATGGGTAAGCGAATTACACGATTAAATTATGCTGCTCATTCGTAAGACAGATTCCCCTGAAAAGAAGAAACTCTAGGGCATAGTTTCCCTTAGTGGTCCCTACCACCCCCAACGGGCGCTAAAAAGTCCTAAGTTCCAGCCTAGGAAGCAATTGATGCTGTCCATGGGTGCCACCACATTTGAAACGAAAACCAGAATTATCTATATAAACTACACTCATTGACCTACCAATAAATGGACGTCGGGTTCGCGCTAAAAAGTGTCCGCACCTGTAGGGCGTTAAAATCGCATACAGAGCGTCAATTGCGCAATAGTCTTCGTTTGTTCGAGTGACAGCGCGGTTGTCAATCATGCAGTACCAATATATGCAGTACAAATAATAACTTGTAAAAATTACTGCAGTAAAGTGTGAAAACAGGATTTTGTATCCTATTTTCACTAAACAAATATATTGTGTTATCATAGTTGTCATTTAAAAGTGTTATTTTGTACAGTTTTATAGTATTTAGTTTATATATAAACTGAATCGTAAATATAAATTACAAAAGCACACGACATAATGAAATAGCTAACTGTCCTTTTTCTACTCATGGCATGCGGAAAAGATGGAAAGAGACCCGTTACGTCAGTTTCAGGAAGCTTATATAAACTTCTTGGTCATTTTCAATTGTTCGAACCACAAGCGATTGATATAATTATTTAGGACAAAGAAACTGTAGAGTTGCTTTGATTTTAATCCTATTTTTATAATGATTTTTTAATTAAACGTTAGCAAAAACTAACAAAATGTTGTTGTACTCCTTTTACGCATTGGGATTACCTATTAGAAGTCAGAAAATACATTTGCCCGAAATAACATTAGCTCGAATTTCGAAAATGTGTTTTTACAAAGATTACAAAACAAAAGCTAATTTTGTCTATGTAAAAAACATCAAAATTACTCGAAAGCGTAACGGTTTAGGCTGCATAAAATAGGATTTTATGCTCTAGTGCATAAAATAAAATCGTCGTTTAAGCCAGAGGCAATGACGCCTGCGCCGACAGCCACGCACACTAGAACTTTATATAATAAAGTTTTGTTTTTATTTTTTAAATCCGTGCTATATTACAAAATTAAAAAAGTAGGCAATAGTAATTCTAATAAGTTATATGAAATAGAAATACATAAAAAATAAAAGCTTCTAAAATATAACAGAGCATTATGTAGTCCGACCTGAGTCACGTGTAGAAAATAATCGTTTATTTGTAATATTGCTGTTTAATTTCCTCGCAATCGAAGTGAAAAGCAGAGTCTATAACTCGTTCATAAAACCCATTTTACCCTCGACTTAAGTATTCATCTTCGCCAGCAGCTCGGGTGGATATACTCATCTCGGGTAAAATAACGCGTTTTATGCACTTGTTGTACAATCTACTATTTTTGAATTATTTTTTCTGGTGGTGGTAGGCGTTGAAAATTTTTTTATCTTGTCTAAGTGGGCGGTAAGTCAAAAACTTTAGGAACCTATGCTCTAGGGCTTGCTCTTGAGAGCTAAACGGGTCATTACCACGGATTTTTGTCATCTAAGTACGCAGAAGCTGTACACTAACATTTAGTATAAAGATTTTGTTTCACTATAGTTTTAAGCCTCGTAAATGGGAAATTGTGATTATCAATCGGAATCTTATTAAAACATAACGGACACACACATAGACAACCTCAAATTACACCAATACTTTTTTTAAAGTACTGCCTCCTTACCTGCCCCCAAGCAGTAATGTCAGCATTACTGTGTTCCGGTTTTGAAGGGTAAGGGTGCTGGTGAAATTGCAGGCACATGGGACTTGTCAACTTATGTCGCAGGGTGACGGGCGCAGTGGTAGTGCCCCTTAGATTCTTGCGATTTGAAGCTCTGAGTGACACTGCAACTGTTATGGACAAGCGTGTCGCTTACCACCAGGCGCAGGACTTGTCCGTCCCGTCTTGATATCATAAAACTAAACCTTATCAACTTCTCCATGTACCAACTACGGCAGTTTATATTCTTTGGATTTCAAAATTGTAAAAGTATTTAAAAAAGCATGTAACTGACGTCGTATGCGCAGGTATTTGACGCGACGAACTCCACACGCGAACGGCGACGCATGATCCGCGACATCGTCGTGCACAAGATGGGCTTCAAACTTTTCTTCGTCGAGTCTATCTGCGACGATCCCCGCATCATTGAACAGAACATCATGGTAATCATACCTTATTTAAGATAACGACGTAGTACTGAAAAGATTCAGCCGTATGTGATTGGCTAGAGATAAGCCTCTAAAGCCACATTCATAATGGCTAGCTAATTTAGTTCGTTCACACCTGTTTACCTTCTTCCTCCGCCATCTGTCAAATTCAAATTCAAATTCAAAATAATCTTTATTTCATAGGTAAGCATTATTACACTTGAAATCGTCACAATGGTTAAACTCTACCGCTCATTCGTAAGGCAGATTCCCCTGAGAAGAATGAGCAAGAAACTCTAGGGGTTGCTCTTTGTAAATAACATTTACAATATTTTTTTTTTATTTGAAACATCAGAGATCGAGACTACCTCCATGAGCTAAACGGGTTACTACCACGGATTTTTGTCATCCAAGTACGCAGCAGTTGTATAATAACCTTTAGTATAAAGGTTTTGTTTCACTATAGTTTCAAACCTCGTGAAAGGCAAATTTTGTATATCAACCGGAATCTTGTTATAGAAGCGTATACATTGCCCCTTAAATGATTGTTTGACTTTGTGAAGACGACTATCAAGAAAAGCTAGTTTATTTTTATTCCTCGTATTAATGTTATGTCTGTCACTATTTTTCATAAAGAAATTACTATTCCTTTTAACATAAATTATATTTTCATAAATGTATTGTGAGGCTAGTGTAAGAATGTTAATTTCCTTAAACTTATCTCTCAAAGATACTTTGGGGCCCAGATTGTAAATTGCCCTAACTGCACGTTTCTGCAGGACAAAGATTCTATTGATATCGGCGGCATTACCCCAAAGCAAAATGCCGTATGTCATTAGACTGTGAAAGTAGCTGAAGTAAACCAATCTAGCGGTTTCGACGTCTGAAAGTTTCCTTATTTTTTTAATCGCGTACACTGCAGAGCCGAGCCGTTTTGATAACTTACTTATATGGGGACCCCATTGCAATTTAGCATCTAACGTTATACCTAGAAATACAACTGTATCCACAAGATTCAATTTTTCGTTTCTAACTACAATGTTTGTAACCGTCTCTCTGTCCGAAATAATTACTATGAAATAAGTAGTAAGTAGCTTTGAAGATAGTAGAACTCCTTGTGAAAGAGTTCGTGTAGGGAAGTACTGCCACCTTACCTATTTCTGCCGTCTAAGAGTAATTTCAGCATTACTGCGTTCCGGTTTTGAAGGGTAAAGGTGCTTGTGAAATTACAGGCACAAAGGACTTGTCAACTATGTTTCAGGGTAATAGGCGCAGTGGCAGTGCCCCTCAGATCTTTGCAATTTAAAGTTCTGACGCATGATGCGAATAAAATATAAATAAATAAATTTTGAAAAATTGTTTGGGACGGAGAGCGGGAGTAGACACCCTGTGCAGTGCGGACGCTTGTTTTTTCTTTATTTGCTACCAGAGTGGGTTACAACACGAGCAGATAAATTTATTAATTAAGAAGAAATTTGATTTTGTGGAAGACTGCAGTTCTACTTATTAATTTGTTTATTTGTTTTGTAATATCCTTGTGGTAATTGTAATGGGCCTCTAGGTCACAAATAAAACTGAAATTTTATACATAAACGCATTGACTTACAATTATATGGACGTCGGGTCCGCGCTAAAAAGTGTCCGAACTTATACGGCGTTAAAATCGTATACAGAGCGTCATTCACGCTTTAGTCTTCGTTTGTTCGATTGACAGCGAAGCAAGCAAAATTAGACAGTACTGCGATGACATTACAATTTAAATTCAACGTTTTAGCTTTTTCATATTCCTTTACATGTCACTGCGTTTAAATAGGTTGACTTGGGACATTTTTTTCGTGGTTTTTGTATTAGACCCGTCGTCCATTTATTTGTAAGTCAATGCATAAACGTAATGTATGTAGACAGTATCTCTACTAAACAAATTACTTCGTTAACATATCTATCTAACGCGTTCGGTATTACAATATAGTTATTAATTTAAATATCTTATTTTTAATTTATCAAATAACATTCCAATTTACGCTACATAAGTTTTCCAAAATATTTTATTGTAACAATACCTATTAATTTTTGCTAAAATAAATTTACTAATTAAGAGGAAGTTTGATTTTATGTAAGACTGCAGTTCTACTTATTAATTTGTTTATTTTATTTGTAATATCCTTGTGGTAATTGTAATGGGCCCCTGCCACAAATAAAACTGAAATTTTATACACAAACGTAATAGATACAGACAATATCTCTAGTATTAACACCAATTGGTAGGGATATTAATTTCTAATTTTCTAATCTATTTTTTATCCACTTTGACGTCAAATGGTAATAGTACCGCCACTTTAGGGTCCAAAAGTAACTCATGATTCTTCTATGCCTTGATTTTTTTAAATTTAATTTTATTAAGGGATGACCAACATTTGTACAAGGTGAGTTATACACCGTAAGAATAACCGTATACATAATTGTACAATTTACCACATCACCCCACAGACTACTACATTTTTTTTAAATAACGCATTATCGGTATTGATTAAAAAAAGTACAATGCTAACAAAGAAAATAAAGTTAAAAAACAAACAAACAAACATAATAGCATTACAAAGTACATTTTAAAGATAAATAAATCGAGTTTCACAGTCTACTACAGTGTCATACCTATACTCCGTCCAATTTTTGGACGAATATGAATGCACGGAGTACAATGTTCCAATAACCGCCTTCTTAAATTTGTATTTAACAGTCTATGGCAGTCTGTTGTGAGTGATGGCTGTAAATTTGTAATTCTCGCTTATTATGCGTGAACGCGGACGAATAACTTTGGCAAAGATGTTGTATAATCAATTAATTTATAAATATTATTGTCTAATATACAGTATTCCACGACTATGGGTCACGGAGGGAAAATAAATATTGTAGATAAGATATTTTTCTTCGCGGTGTCATTATTTTTAAAAGTAATACGAAGCATTCGAAGACTTAAAAGAAATCTTGCCTCATCTGGGAATGGAACCGACCAAATCTTAAAAAGAAACCTGTATTTTTATGTCTATTGCCTTTTATTTTTAACCGACTTCAAAAAAAGGAGGAGGTTCTCAATTCGACTGTATGTTTTTTTTTTCCCTTTTTTTTGTATGTATGTTAAGCCATAACTCCGGTATTTGTGAACCGATTTTCATGATTCTTTTTTTGTTATAAAGAGGGTACCTCCATAGTGGTCCCATTTCATTTTGAAGAAAACCATCCACCTCTAAGGGTGGCTGATGACGCATGAACATTCATTTTTATAAATAGCGCCTAAATTTTACATAAGGAGCAATTATTTTAATGGTTGGTTTTGCTATTCTCCAATTCAAGACATTTTTCTCTCTCAATATACTTTGAGTAGTGAGAATCGATTTTTATTATCTCCTGTGTCCAGTCCCGTATAGTGGCGAACTAGGGATTATTTCGATAAAACTTTTTTGACGGTTTTTTTTTTAGTACTCTGAATCAGTAATCAGTAATCGTTTATTGCATAGTCACATGTTTATAATATTAAAATTACAGTACATGTGACACCCTGTTAGGGTGTTTTCAAAGAGAGTGGCGCTATACACATTTTAAAAATATTTTGATAAAAATTATTACACAGTACTATTTCCTAATTGATACCACGCATACAAAATGGTGTCTAGTAGAACTATATAATTTACACATTGTGTTTCAACTCTATACTAATTGATATAATTTTAAAACTAAATACTAATTGAAATAATTTTAGCTACATACATTTATACACAGAAACATACAATTATAATTTTCTATTATTATTTCATATTAAATCATTTAAAGAAGGTCATCAGAAATATCATTAAAGTATTCTGTTATATTGTAATAACTCCTATCAATTAAGAGAGATTTTAATTGTCTTTCAAAAGCCTTGGAATCCTGAGTACATTTTATGCTGTTATTTTTATTAACATTGAGTGGGGACCCGATGAATACAATTTCATTTTTGAAGGAGGTAATTTCAACTTGAACAGATTACGATTATTTCGTTTAACTGTTTTTAACGGCGAATACAAGTCAGAGTGTTTTTTAGTGAATTTACAAGCTTCAAGTATGTATATGCAACATATCGTTAATATGTTAAATTTGCGAAAATAGTTTTTACAAGATGTCATTTGGTCTATGTTTGAACTGTCTGAACTGAGATTATTATGAAGATTATTTCCTTTTAAGAGCCTATACAACCTCAGCTCGAAATATATTTTTTCCCGCACTAATACGCTTCATTTTGCTCGAGTCGAGCGGACGGGACACTGGATTTGTTTCAGAATTTATTTTTTTACAAACGAAACGGAAGTCATGTTCTATTTAGTTCAGTTGATATAAAAAAAATCGTTGTTATATGTAAAGTACGTATTGAATACAGCGGTTTTCTTGTAAAATTTCTAGGTAAGTTTGTGTTTTTTTTTCTATCGTGAAAATTTTTAGGAATAATGTTTTCACACTGTATACTAATTCATCAGTGTATATCCTCAAATGTACTATATATTTTTTCCACAGTGATTGATTCCACACTTTCACTGTTATGCGGAATCAACAAAAGCTATTTGAGATTGTATAGACTCTTAGGTAACATAGTATTTATTTTATTTTTTTATTTATGCATACTATATGTAATTTTAATCGCGCGTACGTAACTAACTCTTAACTGAGGGATAAATTGATATATTACTCCATTACCCTTTCTACGAATAAAGGAAATAGTTATTTCCTCCACCACTTTCATGAGTTCATGAACCACAGTTCAAAGCAATATAATCTTATCAGAGACGTCATAAATGAACCTACCTGAATGATCTTCTTTATAATAATAATAATAACGCTCACAATCAACATAGCCCCGCACTAGGGAAACCCTGTGTCGCGGGTGCCATGGACACACACATAGACAACCACAAATTACACCCAAACTCACGAGAGAAATAAATGTAGGCCATACAAACATTTCTCCCGGCCCGGGAATCGAACCTGGGACCTCTGCGTGGCAGTCCGGCATGGTAACCGTTCGGCCACAGAGGCAGTTAGTTACTTTGATCAAGTACTCCATGTTAAACAACTATGTTTCTAAATGACGTCAATATTGAAACGGTCTATTCATGTTCATAGGGAATATAAATTTTAATTGCCCTATGTTATTACAAGAAGTAATAATTGTAAAAACGACAATTTATTAAAACTTAGACACTGCATTAGGGTATTGAAAGAAATCGGAATTTTCCAGTGCCGGAAAATACCAAAGCTCACCCTGACCCATAGTAGTGAAGTTTAGCTTTTTATGAACAACCACAGGTGACAGAAATGAATGGAAGATAAAGACAGCTTTGAAAGCCTTTTTACTACGGCTTTCAAACAAACATGCCTTTTGGATAACACAGCATTATCCAAAATGAATGTTTTACAAAAGTCAGTTACTTGAACGCTCCTTTAGTTATTGTAGGAGTGATTACTAAGAATTCTATTTAAAAAATACATGAACGCGAGAATGAAATATAGTAATATATATATAGTTTCCGCCATATTATATGTATAAAAGAGCCGCCCTTAATTCATGTCTTTGTGAAGTAAACTTTTGTTCGTTATTTGAATTATCACACGCACTTTTTTGTTGCAGCACGTATAAAATAGAAATGTTAAAGACGTGTAATTTAAAAGATTTTTAAAATTATTATTGATACAGATATTGAACAAACAAAAATTCCGTATGTGAGAACTTAGGAGCCGCGCAAACGTGTGTCTTGTGTTGGATGCAAGTAACCGGCAACAAGAAGCGAATATTCTGTTTTCACACGAAATGCGGTTCGGCAACCTGTGCCATTGTCCGAATGTGTCGATTTTATGTCAATCCGCAGCGAGGACATAGAGAAATTCTGCAGGCTCGATCCGTAGCTCAGATGGCAGAGCGTAGCCATGTTGTGGCGACAGCCGCTGGTGCAAGTCTACTCGGATCGAAGGAATTTTACTTTGTGTTTGTTCGATCTTTGTTTCAATAATAATAACAAACTAGTGAAATATTTTCACAAATTCATAAAAAAAAGTAAGACTTAATTTGTCAGGTTCAAATCAGGTTCAGTACAAATTTCAAAGATATTAAAAGAAAAATTAATTATTATTAATTGTGCAATGGCTATAAAACCATCAATATAAAAAGATATTAAAGAATTAACAAACTCAAAACGTAATGTAACTTAAATACAAATTAAATCATGTGAAAAGTGTGACCATATAATCCCGCCATTTTTTTAATTTGATTTTGATTATTGTAATTACTTAGTTCCATAATTATTCGTTACCTTTTTAAACTGATGATTCTATAATCAATGCTGTGTGAATAAATAATGTTCATTAATAATAATAAATAACGCACACACTCAACATAGCCCCGCACTAGGGAAACCCTGTGTCGCGGGTGCCATGGACACACACATAGACAACCACAAATTACACCCAAACTCACGAGAGAAATAATTGTAGGCCATACAACTATTTCTCCCGGCCCGGAAATCGAACCTGGGACCTCTGCGTGGCAGTCCGGCATGGTAACCGTTCGGCCACGGAGGCAGTTCAGACAGTTAATTAAATTTGACAGAACTAAAAATGGCGGGTATTTGTAGCTATACAGTTTTTACACAAATTAAGTTTTAGTTTACCGAAGTTTTATTTATTACATTTTGAGTTTCTTAATTATTTGTTACTTACTTACTTAAACTGTTTACTTACTTAAATATAACAAGTACGTGTGTTATAGAATATTCAAAACTTGAGCACTTATGAGCGACGTACGGGCGAAAGCCAAACGTTGCAAAACGGGGGAAAACTAAAATCCGTTGCCCAATGTACCGAGAAATCCGCGGGTAAGATCCCCGATTCTACGTACATCTACCTACAATCCTGAAAAGTGTTACAAACGACGAAACGTTTTATACCCAACTAAAACTCCTTTTATTTTATTGGTCTGAGGTCATGGTTTTTGCGGCAGGAAGTAAGTGTCCTACTGTTGTAACAGTGTTTAAATTTAAGTATCTAGGACATTTAATTAAGCCTGATCTCAGAGATGATAATGACATGGAGAGGGAGCGTAGAGCTTTGTCAGTAAGGGCTAAAGTGTTGGTTCACAGGTTTACTCGATGCTCTGCTGCAGCTAACTCTTTTCAAGGCTTACTGTTCTTCTTTTTACGCGAGTAGCCTGTGGTACCGACACACACAAAAGTTGTACATTGCTCTTCGCTCCCAATACAACAATGCTTTTAGGATGCTGTTGCGGCTGCCGAAGTTCTGTAGTGCGTCTGCAGTGTTTGCTGATTATACTACGGAAGAAAATCGCTTCTCTTTTAAACAGAATTCGTAACGGTAGCAACAACATCTTGAAAATGATTGCTGAGAAAGTGGGGGGACCTCTCATAAGGAACCTCATAGAATTTACGCGATCTTTGTTTAAAATAATTTACTAACATAGTTTATAAATCTGTAACTAACTTAAATATGGATTTATGTTGTCCGAAAATAAATAAATTATTGTTATATTATATTGCATGATGAATTCTACAGTGTGAGTTTCTTTTGAAACAATTATAATGTTGTTTTACTCGACTTCAATGTATTTAGACAAGCAGTAGTTATACTACTTTATTTTATATTTATTATTATTGTTTGCGTTAGTGACGATCATATTATCCCTTGACATTGTATTTTTTATTGTAATATTGTGACATTGATAATATGAAATAAATAATTATATTCTATTTTTCTTCTCAGGAAGTAAAAGTAAGCAGCCCCGACTACACAAACATTCAGAACACAGATAATGTACTAAACGACTTCCTACTTCGAATAGAGCATTACAAAGAGAAATACGAACCACTAGAGGAAAATTTAGAAGCGGAATACAGTTTCATGAAAATATACGACACAGGAGAAAAAGTCGTTGTACATAAGCACGAAGGACATATACAAAGCCGTATCGTTTATTACTTAATGAATATACACATCGTACCTAGGACCATTTACTTGACTAGGGTAAGTTCTTTTTTTCTAACGAAGCTTTGTTCTTGGTGAGCGTTACTGCGTTCCGGTTTCGAAAGGGTAAGGATGGTGGTGAAATTACAGGCACATGGTACTTGTGAACTTAAATCTCAGGGTGACAGTCGCAGTGGCAGTGTCCCTCAGACCTTTGCGATTTGAAGCTCTGAGTGGCGTTGCAATTTCTATGGACAGACGTGTCGCTTAACACCAGGCGTCCGACTTGTCCGTCCCGTTACTTAGTGTCATAAAAAAAGTCATCAATTCTATTACAAGCAACATTGACTTACAATTATATGGACGTCGGGTCCGCGCTAAAAAGTGTCCGAACTTATAGGGCGTTAAAATCGTATACAGAGCGTCATTCACGCTATAGTCTTCGTTTGTTCGACTGACAGCGAAGCAAGCAAAATTAGACAGTACTGCGATGACATTACAATTTAAATTCAACGTTTTAGCTTTTTCATATTCCTTTACATGTCACTACGTTTAAATAGGTTGACTTGGGACATTTTTTTCGTGGTTTTTGTATTAGACCCGTCGTCCATTTATTTGTAAGTCAATGACAAGCAAACACCTTTTGCATGAGTTTCATACCGATACCTCCAACGGACACTACGCCAACTTAAACTTTGGACCTGTTCTGTTCTTATTTCGTATTTTTTTTTTCAAGTTTTGTTTTTTGTTTCTTTATTTTTTTTCCACAAAATTCGTGTTGCATAATATTAGTAAATAAATATGGCTGTTTACAAAAATAACAGAAATAGACCAAAAAATTGACGTAGTGTTCATTGGACGTATCGGTACAGTATTCGACTGTGTAGTAACGCAAGCAGGGCGTTTTTAGCACGGCGAGAGCGTGCACAACATCGTTGGCCGCATCGGCGGCGACAGTGAGCTCTCCCCGCGCGGGAAGAACTACGCCCAGTCACTGGCTTCGTACATCGAGCAGCAACAGATACCTGGACTCCGAGTCTGGACCTCCTGGATGCGAAGGGCCATACAGACCGTTACGGATGTCAAAGCGCCGCAGGAGCGCTGGAAGGCGCTCAACGAGATTGATGCCGTAAGTAACAGTGACAATTTCATCTCCACTGCGTTTCTAGGATGATTCGATCTTATTCTATTGTTCCGTGACGTCACTTTCACTGAAAATCAGTGCTGGGAACGACTTACTTTCTTAAACTCGTATCTTAAATCACAAAGTTACTGAAATACAAAAAATGGATTGTTTATATAAATTTTGCAGACTGATTTAACATCACATTTCCTTTTCACGTACTGGATTTTACCTACTCTTAAAGCAATCGTCCATATAAACACCCCTGATAAGAAATTTAAAATAAATAGAAAGTTTTGCCATGTTCTGAATAACCACTCTTTATAAGATACGAGATTGAGAAGGTAAGGCATCGAAATGCTGAGTCAGTGACCCTTTTGTTATTGCAGCGTATCAGGTATCTCTTTACTTAGTGTCTGTATGTGAAGTTTGTTTTTTTTCATGTTTTTTTATTTGTTTTTTTTGTGTTTTTGTTTCGTAATTATTTATTTATATTTTACGTCTGAGTATTATGATTATGTTTTGCTTTTCTTGTTTTGTTTTGTGGTACCATTTGTGCTTACACACACAAATATTACATGATAACAAATAAACATATTTTCTTTCTTTCTTTATTTAGTAATAATATTGATAAGGGTGCAACTAAAGAAACCTCCCCGCACGACGTACCATCTCTTTGCTGTACGTTTGGCACACCGAGGGCAACAATTTTCGAGTACCGTACACCGATCGATAAATCATATTAACACAATGTCAAGCATTATAGTGTATGCCATCAATACAATAAGAAGATAAAAACGAAATATATTAAATAAATCACAAAAGTGTATGATCTATGCAAAAGGTTAATTATACTACTCCTGTGAACAGCATATCAAGCTATACACTTATTCGTTTATCTTTTTATTATACATATAGGCTCCAGAGCAACAGAATAAGATCCGTCAATTTGTAGCTTGATAAGCTGCCGTCTGTACATGAATTACGAAAACCTATGGTAATCAGTGACCTGTACCTCTGCCATGAATTTACTGTGACATTTGCTTTTCTATTCATTTCGGTTACCAATTATTTTATTTTATTTTTTTATTACAGTTTCACATAACAACAATTGATTAATTTCTTATGCACTTTTTTAATCAACTTGCTATTGAATATCGTCAGAAAAATCTTGTTGAAATTATCCCGTGTGACTCCTCCCGCACCGCGCAGCTACCTCAGGAACTGGCTCAATTAAGAGTCTATACTACCTCACATGGCTTTAGTTGATTTCGCATAACAGTGAAATTGTTGAATAAATATATAGTAAAATTGAGGATTATACACTGATTAATTAGTATACGGTGTGAAAACATGAAAGCTAAAAATTTTCACTATAGAAAAAAAAACACAAACTTACCTCGAAATTTTACAAGAAAATAGCTGTATTCAATACGTAGTTTACATATAACAATGATTTTTTTTATATCAACTGAACGTAATAGAATACGTATACCGTACGATATATATTTTTCAAATGGTTGTAATTTCGTTTGTAACAATTATGAAAAAAGCCCCTGACGCTCGACCCAAGAAAAATGAACCTTATTAGAACGGGAAAAATTTTAATTCGTACTGATGTAGTATCCTGTAGTAATTGTGTCATGTTAGTGAATAAACTGTTGTATCTATCTACCTAGACTAATTCCGAATATTGATTCCAGGGCATCTGCGAAGAGATGACCTATGCGGAGATCCAACAAAAGTACCCATCAGATTTCAACGCGCGAGACGCGAACAAATTCGCGTACAGGTATCCTCGAGGAGAAAGCTACGAGGACCTCGTAGCGAGGCTAGAACCCGTCATAATGGAGCTTGAGCGACAGGGTAATGTTTTAGTGGTGTCGCACCAAGCGGTCATGAGGTGTTTGCTGGCTTACTTTTTGGACAAGTCCGCTGGTAAGTACATTATTGCAGAGCCCGGGAAGTAAGGGATTGCTGGACGAGTATGAGTTACAAGAACGAGCTCCAGCGAGGCCTTGTATTAATACGAGTCAAGGAATCCCCGTTACCGCCGAGGCATGTATAGAATTTTTCTCAAACAGTGCGAGGAAATCATAAAAGACTAAAAAGAGAAAGATGTATAATAGAAAATGTAAACAATATTAATTAACGTTTAAATTACGCAATACAATTGCTAAATGAAAATGTTATTGTTTTTCCGAGCACATTAATGGTAGTCTGCTGAACTTCTGATGATGTGTTTGAATATGTATCTATTACTGTATAGTCTCATTTTCGCGACCAAAATACAAATAAAAATTACAAAACAAAAGAAACACTTTAGTTTAGTGTTCCCGCCATTTTCTTTTTCTTTTTTAAGTAAGCGGTACAGATAGGTATCTTTAGTTCTCGCAGTTATGAACACCAGGCAGTTGGCTGTATGAGTTTTTCTCTTGTTTGTTTACGTAGTTCATTAATAGTAGGTAGATTTAAAAGTTTAGAGAAGAGGACATTATTATGGATTTTCATACTTGCCTTGCTGGCCTTGCCTGGGAAGAAGTCGCATGGGCCATAAAATACAAACTTTCCGTGTTCGTTTTTTGAAAGTAATGCAAACATTTCCGAGCATGTTTGAGAAAGACATTTTTTTTAATATTAAAAAATGACGTAGGGTTCAACATGAAAAAAGTATTTTCATTACTGTAAATAAGAAATTACTAACGATCTATTAGAAGGCTTTAGTAACTCGAGTTTTGTATTTTTTGCCGTCTGTGATACAATGTTTGGTGTTGCGGACACCAGCCCGTACACCAAGTACATTTTTTTAATCAATGGATGGCCATCTGGCTATTCTTCCATAGATAATATAAGTCGAACTAAACAAAGCTAAACAGCCATGATGGATTGTAAAACTAAAATTAGCTAAATTTTTATACAGAAAATAATTAAAATCAATTATAAAAAATTCTTAATAATTAGTATATAAGTAGTATGTGGCTGAATTGCAATGAAACTTCTATTTAGACAACATTTTAAGTTAATCTTAATTTTGAATTTGAGTAACCTACTTGCTTGAACTTTAACCTGACCCATGTAAGGAAATACATCGTGGTACAAAATTTAAAAAAACTCCTTACCGACCATGGCTGTAATGGGAACAAAAAAGGCCCAAGGGTTTTATTTGGGGCATTAAAGTCGAGTTAGCCACCGTACAATCATACTATTTACGAACAAGTGTGATGAAAACAATTTTTTTTCTTAGAATCGTGATCCTAGTGTATAAACATTTACAATACTATCCAATTAAATACGATCCCAGCATCGAGTATATAACCAGAAATAGAGACGAAATGTCATTTAATTTGTTTGAAAACTATTCTGCCATATAATCACTGTGACAACTGCGCTTCGATTGGCCAGCCCGAATTCGAAACAATTGACGGGTGTCGTCAATTGTTTCACTTCAAATTGAGCAGTTAATTTGAGCTTTGCTAAAATGGACGAAAATTGCAAAATTACATATTTAATTACCGCTGAAATTTGATTCTGTTTGTTTTGTAATTAGATGTTTTGCTGTTTTCCCCACACCACCGAATAGAACAGCATGCTATTGTTAGAGATATTATCTTTATTACAATAAATACAGAATATTTTTGGAATATGCGGAGACGTACATACAGGTCAGTTGTTGGCGGCTGTCTATATTTCAGTGCAAACGAAAATTTATATTTATAAGTGATGTATCACTGATAAGTTACCAGGAATGTACGGCCCTTTTTTCGTCTCTATTTCTGGTCATATACTCGATGGATCCCAGCAACAAGTAATGCATTTACAACAATTACAGAGGAGCTACCGTACCTGCACGTGCCGCTGCACACCGTGATCAAGCTGACGCCGGTGGCGTACGGCTGCCGCGAGGAGCATATCAAGCTCTCCGTGCCCGCCGTCGATACGCACCGACCTAAGCCCTCCGTAAGTGTACTTACATCTGTACTTACATTTCCAAGACAGACACCGACTTATATATCTAAGTTACTACCAGAGCCATCTAGCGGCAGAATTCGTAATGATCCATCAATTGTTTCTTTTCAATACTAACATATCTCAATGTGAACTACATACAATTTTTAATATATGTAATAGCATTGATCGCCCACGCGTAGTTTGCCCACGGAAAAGGTCATTTTCCCACGTAAAAAGGTCATTAAATATTAGTTCAACCACGTGAAAAAGTGATTTTGCGCAGGCACAAAAGGGTCGTTTGCATACCTAAATAGTTTACTCACGTGAAAAGCCTATTTGCCCACATGAAAAGGCGATGTACCCTCATAAAAAGGCGGTTTGCCCACATGAAAATGTGGTTTTTAGTAAGTAGTCGTTGAGTGTAAAAATATAAATGAAACTGAGAATTAATATGATCAAGAAATATTATATATGATATACTATTTGACACTTGAAATCTGGATTTGGTAGTAAGTTTGAATCTGTATGCTTCGTCCCCAATAATCACCACCCCTATCCTGCGTTTTGCATCGGACTTACTTTAGCGCTTTCTTTTATTACCTTACAGAGTTATCACCGTTAAAAGCGATCTGTTTGATTATTTTTATTTTTGTACGAAAGTAAAATCGGAAGAATTATTTAAAGTCATGGAGCATAAGTTGTTGTTCACTATGTTATTAAATCCTACGAAATTGTTATAATACGTCCATGTGCTTCTGGATCGCTATTTGCTGCTACACCAAGTCCCTTGACAATCTTGGTGCTTCCCATAGTGTTTGTCATACGTTTAGCTGTTTACATTTATTTCAGAGGTCTTAAAAGCCGTGGTAGCTCAAGCAGAGACCATGGGTTCGAATCCAGGCTTACATTTCTCAGTTTTTCGGAATTTATGTGTGAAATTTAATTTGAAACTTAACATGATCTTATCGGTAATGGAAAACAACGTGATGGAACCTACACGTCACAGAAAGTTCACAGCGTGTGAAGTGGGACGTATAAAATGGCTTGATGATGATAGGGATTATAAAGAACGATGATAGTCTAGCACAATGTTTGCTTCATGTGCATGTTTTATATTCTAAGTTACGCACTTCAGGTTCACAAGCCTTGAAAACTTGTTAAATATAACCCACATTAGACCTGGTCCTTAAAGGAGATCCGTGCCAACAGTGGGACTTTTATGTATAGCATGGATGAGGACTGCTAATCTCCATACTAGACAGTGCTAACCGAGAGCCTGGAAGTTGTTTATATTATGTAAATGGCCGTGGATATCAAGAGCTAAAATTATTTTTGACATATCGCACTGCTATTACAATAGTGTTGTAAGTCAAAATATGTGAAATTCAAGATTATACTATTGCCGAACGTAAAATTTGATTCTCTACACGTCAATAAAACCGTCGTTAAAATATTGTAAGAAACAAAATAAATCTACTTAACTCAAAATGAGACAAACTTTTTGCGAACTAATTCTGAATAAAACAGCCTTATTAAATAAGTGTCTAAAAAAGATTACGTTATTTTTTTCCTTTTATTTGTTTCGATGTCTGTAATAAATAAACTTTAATCTTTACATAAATGTTAATAATATTTCACTGAAAGTGAGGAATTTGTTTTTCATCGTCTTATGCTGTGGGGCAATTCAGTAGTCGTAGAAAGTGCGTTTAAGGTTCAGAAGAAGTGTGTTCGGGCGATATAGGGTGCGTGGTTCGACAACAGCTGTAAACCGTTATTTAAAAAACTAAAGATACTGCCTTTGCATGTATATGCCGTGCATATACATTAGGGATATCTGTGTATTTGTCAAAACTTATCCTCAATATTTCAAAACACGTGGTGAAATTAATCAAAGGCGGACTAGAGCAAAAATTATGAATCTTTTGTACCAACCTCGTGGCTATAAAGTAATTTATAAGAAATACTGCTTCAACATGTTTATAATTATTTTCAACAATTTCCCAAATGAAGTTAAATTGTTACAAGGATTGTTGTTGTTTTAAATTACAATTGACAAAATGACTTTTGACACATTGCTATAGTAATAAAGAATACTTAGAATTTCCAAATTCATATTTACATTAATTTGAAGTGCAATTAACAGTAGAAACCCAACATGACATTAATATTTGTACATCCGCTCGCAGGTTGAATACAATATACCTAATTTTATTTAAGACCTTTATCATTACTGTATTCTGGCAAATAAACGTATTCTATTCTATTGATTCTGAAAAAATATACTTTTTGAGTTAGTACACTATTGTATTCACAGTGCGATATACGCGTGTCAATAGATGGCATTGTGTGTTACAAATCGATTTATAAATTAAAGCTTGCTAGCGCGTTTACGAATATCGCTTGTACACCTAGAGATAAAGTGATGCGCGTGACATTTCGGATCGTCATTTCTTAGATTCGAAACTGATACGAATGGGACGTAGCCTGTGCAATAAGCGAAGCGGTATCATCAGAAATTGGAGTAGCTTTGATAAATTGTAATTCGTCAATTATTTACGAAAATAGCTATTTGGTACTAATCGCGACATTTAGTCTACCAATAGGTACTAAATACCCGACTACGCTGACTTGCACCGCGATTGGCAGGCCTCTGGAATTATTAGTTAATGTATATAGTAAATTACGCAGGTGAATTGACCGAAGCTACACTCATGCAATTTACAAAGTAACAACATGATAGATACAAGGCTCCATGTAACACGTTTTTGTTTCTGGGTTTTCAATATCATTTTCTAATTTGTTGTAACATAAAAAACTTTATTTCCCTTCAAAAATTTTGCTGTTGTGGTCAAGACAATAAAAGTTTAAATTTGCGTACCACACCAAAAACACAATGAAGGATGGCGAAAGCTGACCCAAAATCAACGAAGTGCCGTTCATGGACTAAGCTAGTATAATTTTACGTTTTAGTTTATGCCTAGTTATTAATATATTTTTGTATAGTTTTAGAAGTCGGGAATAAAGAAATTGCAAAAGAATGTATTCTAGAATAGATGCAAGAACACAACGCAATTGATTCAATTCGACCATAGATTAGGTAACGTTATTGTACATGCGTTTCATTTTAAGCGTGATTGAATGTTTACATATCTGAAGTATTGGTTACTTTATAGTACACACATATAACATTAAAGCTATAAAATACCTAATCAAATAATCAATTACACAATAATGACAAAAAGTAAAAAATAAAACACAATGTGAGAAAAATGTTTAGATAATATTTAAATGAGAGATACGAATGTTAACAAAGGAACGTTTTGACAAGAGGCCTCTTGCCAATGTCAATGTCACTTTGAGATTGAGAACAGTGTGACCATTATTGGCAGAACCCCCCAGCTTCTACATACTGTACTCAATTAGTTTTTTGATGCTTTGATAATGAACCACAAGTATTGATAGGTCTGTTTTATGCACGTCGTCAAAAACACTGGGTCACAAAATACACGGGATGTCGCCATCCTTCTTTTTGGATTTTTTGGTTTCTTTTTCTTTAAAGACAAAAGTCTATATAGTATATTACAACCAAAATTCTACAAATTAATTGCAAAAAACTTAGAAATGTGTAGATTCGCGAGATTATGTAAATACCACTATGTAGTTATTCTCCTTTTGTTATGAGAACAAGTAACGGGACAAACAAGTCGTGCTCGTGTCACGGTGGTAAGCGACACGCCTATTCATAATAGCAGTGCCACTTAGTGCTTTAAATCGTAAAGATATGAGGGGCACTGGCCACTGTGCCCGTCACCCTGAGACAAGTCAACAAGTCACCCTAGAGTTGGGTCATGGAAAAATTTCCATTTCGGAAAAATCATATTTTTCAGAAATATGATTTTTTCCGGATATATTTCCAATATTTTTCTTTTCAATTTCCACATTTGACGTTGACAACTGTCAAAAGTTTAAGTTACTGAACGAAAACCATGGAGCCATTAAAAAGGATTTTTTTCACTGTTGCGAATCACTCTAGTCTAGGGGTTGTATTCCAGAACTCTACTCAATGCTCAAGTCAGAATTTTAGTATGATTTCAAGCACTGGAAATACGACCCTAATGGCAAGGACTTGAGTATGATTTCTAGTGCTTTACATCATACTCAAGTCCTGACTAGAGCATTGTGTAGTGTTCTGGGATACGACCCTAAATCTCGTTATTTCTCTAAGTTGTTTTTACCTATATATGAGTGTAGTATTTTGTAATTCACGCTAAATAAAACTTTATATTTCTAAACGTAGAACATAACATAAGCCTTCGAAATTATATTTTTCCGGTTTTTCGGGAATTATTCCGGAAAATTTTCGGAAAATTATCCAACAGTACATGTGCCTGTAATTTCACCAACAGTAATGCTCACATTACTGCTTAGCGGTAGAAATAAGTAAGGTGGCAGTACTTCCCAGGACGAACTCTTTCACAAGGGAAAAAAATACTTTTAAAACAGAAACAGAACCTTTTTGAAAATTTGTTACATAGTGATTTGCCATAATCGAGCGTCAATTCACCGGCGTAATTTACGTAAGCGTAGAGCTAATAGCATTTCTTTATAACGACTCCGGCTTCGACAATGTTTTTTTAAACTTTTAAATTGACACATAAAAGCTATGACCGATGACATGTTTCGTATTTATTCCTGACAGGGGAGCGAAGAAAGCTGACTGCGATAAGTACGCTGTGTGAAGCCGCATGTTTTAGTAGAGTAGAGAGATCTGTGTTCTGATTAATATATTGTCATGCTTGTCAAAAATGTATCACACCCTCAAAAATAATGTATGCATCCTTTGTAATACATGTATAGATATGAGATTATAAAATAGTAATGTTTATATTGAAATAAATAAAAATTTGACACTAAGTAGGAATTGAATTAACATCGCTTAACGTCGTCGGCTTAGTGCAAGACTTAAGGCGACTTCAAATTGGACTCATTTAAAAGCGCTTCAGTGGCGCGACTGTGCCGCGTAATTTTTAGGTCACTAATTGTGACTGCAAAAGTATCGGGCGCGTGTCACGACAGTAGCGCTGCAACTGCGCTTCTAAACATTGTGTAAAACATAATAGTGGCGCGACCATTGTAGAGCCACTACAGCCATTCTATAAGCGTCTAATTTGAAGCCCTCTCAATTTTTTTTTAAACTAAATTTGTCCCTATTAACTTGTATTACAAGTTAATAGCGACATCTCTAGCCAGCGCTGGTAGCTGTAAAGGTATCTAACTGGGTGACGAAATACTTTCATAGATTTCTCATAAATGGCGCTACGGATAAAAAGTAGTTGAAAACCAAATACAAAGATCCGACAAACCAGCACATAGAAAAATTCGTGAGGTCTGTTGGTTCGTTCCGTGGCTTAGTTGGCATCGAATCCGGCTGGATCAAAGGATATTTTTCTAGGTGTTCGATCTTTGTATTAATAATTTTTACAACTAATGCTTATAAAATTTACAAGAAGGCAAAATCAACCTTGAACCACTCGACAAACCTGTATTAGTAAGGAAATTGAAACGAATGAAAAATGTAACAGACTCATACTTTATTATTTAAAGTGCAACGTAATATTAATATATTTTGTCACGCCTGTCACTTACATCACGATATAATGGTTTTGGCAAGCGACTACTTTCTAACAGTTATTAATAACCACTTTGAAATAACGTTAAATTTCATTTGAAAATGGATCCACAATAACCTTCACAGTTTTACAGGCTTGTCGCATTATTCGTTTGGATCAATTTTGTACAATTATCTTATTTGTATTTACAATATTTACACTGATCTAATTATGTCATAGTTCATAATTATAATTTTAAAATAGAAGCGAACTACAATTAGTAACGCAGTCGCCTGTCTCTACAGAACGAAGGAACAACCTATGTGATTTTGGAACGTTCGTAAAAAGTCACGGTGATACTATTTGACGGCTGATCGCTGATTTTTTCATCGTGACGTTATTTATCACCCACCTCTAGCTACTAAGCGTCTGCGGGTCGCGTCTTTATAGGAACGGCACAAATACAAATAATTTATTGACAAACGGTATACATTTGTAGATAGGCTTTGACAACCACACTAGGCCATGCCTGTGTCGTGGCTGACAATTCAAATTGTATACGAAAATAAAGGCGATCGGCACGTGTCAATCTATAATAAATACGATATCGTCTGTTGCTTACAAATTTACTCGTTTTATTCGATCAAAAAATTGATCAAACCTGCTGTTACCTTATCTGAGGTTACCTGGGTTTACGAGTTTTCCGCTTTGCGTTGTGGAGAGACTTGCGCGCATGCGCGGCGCCTTGCCTTTGTTTGGGTTGACGACACTCTTGAACCGGCTGCTGCTCTGTGATTGGCCAGTGGTGCTGTCCTCCACAAACGTTCCTTGTTGCTTGCGTGGAAATATATGTATATATAATAATTAATAAGACATATAATAATTTAAACTTTGTATTAGAGTCATATTTATTTGTTTTAATATCGTGCAACTGTAATATGCGATACCCGCCCACTGTCTTAATCGATTTGAATTGTCAGCCACGACACAGGCATGGCCTAGTGTGGTTGTCAAAGCCTATCTACAAATGTATACCGTTTGCCAATAAATGATTTGTATTTGTATTTGTATTGTATTTGTAATATCAAGCTTGCTAGATATCAAACTCACGCAACGCAAAGCGAGCGACTTGTGAACAGTCCCGCCTGCGCGTACGCAACAAATCTTTGCGTACGCGCGAAGCGAGTTACGCAAGCAAGTGAAAGACTTGTGAACCCGGCATTAATATCGAGGATTGTTCGGTACCGTATCTGCCCCATTTCGCTCTCGTCTCGTACGGGACTATATATAATTAACTTTCATTGGATTCGTTGACGTCATTGAAACACTCGAACACACCTTACAGGACCAATTTTCTATATGTATATTATTTAAAAAAAATGTTATTTAAATTTGTATTCAATTCTTTTATGTGAAATATGTGTCGGTTCGGCAGGATCGAAGGAATTTCTTCTGAGTTTTCGATCTTTGTATTAATAAATTATAACAAACTAGTGGAATAATTTACATAAAATAATTGAAAATCAATTCAATACAAATTTAAATACAACGAATAGCGACATTTCTAGCCGGGGCTGGTAGGTGTAAAGGTATCTAACTGGGTGACGAAATATCATAGATTTCTACGCTACGGCTAAAAAGTCGTTGAAAAACCAATACAAAGATACGGCGTAAGCACATAGAAAAATTTGTGAGGTTCGCTGGTTCGTTCCGTGGCTTAGTTGGTATAGCGTCTGACACGGTAAGCTGGAAGACGTCGGTTCGAATCCGGCCGGATCGAAGAAATTTCTTCTAAGTGTTCGATCTTTGTATTAATAATGATTAATGTTTGTATCGAGTTCTTAGGTTTTCGCGATTGTTACACATAGTAAATGAAACTATTTTTCCGGATTTAAATCCCGTATATTTGTTTTTTCAAACAAACCGACTGACCGAACCGACGTTTCAAATATACGCGATTTAAATCCGGAAAAATAGTTTCATTTCCTATAATTATAAATGTTATTAGTAATTATTTTTGACAAGCATGACAAGTTTTTCTGAAACGTAGTTTAGTGTAGAAAAATTGTATAAATAGTCAAAATTATAGTAAAAAATTACACGAAACGAGGTATTCTTTGTACTGCCTGAAGAACCTGTTAAACAGTTAAGTTTTGACATTTTCAATGGTGACGGAGTGTTTTTATGTTTGTTTGCTTTATATGCTGTTTTTTTTTTGAGAGAAAGTGGACGGTTTTGGGCGTTACACGGGGTTTTTTTAGATGTTTAGTTTTTTTTACAATTATTAATATTTCCATTGCCAGATCTTCCATGGAGACTATATAACATTGTTTCTTTTTTTTATATACAGGTATATGTACGCGTTTATGTAAATGAGTCTTCAGCTTTTTGATTATTTAATATTTCGCGTTTATTTTAGACATACACTCCCGGGCACATAATTCGCACCACCTGGCATTTTGGTCTTGAAAGGACTAGAATACAAAAATAGTGTTACCAATTTGCCATCGAAGAAAAACTTTTCCCCCGGTTTTTCAAATCCAAATTTCGAACAAGGACTTATGGAAAAGACGTTTAGTATACTAGTTTCAAAATTGCTTAATAGTTTTTCATCAATCAAAGATTGTTGAAGCTTAATGCCTTAAGCTAATACTGAAAATGCGAGGTGGCTCGAATTGTATATGTATATACGGGAATGTATATTTAGCTTAATATATTTTGTTTTTATACAAAATGCGTCTTTATTACTATTTCCTTTTCATATTAAATCTTGTATACTTCAGTTAGGTATGACATATTGCTATTGACTTACATAAAAATGTGTAAATTTAAAAAAATGTGTTATATTCAAGTGTTAAATATTTCAATTACCTTATTCAGGTAATACCAGCGCCACAGATAAAGCCTCCGGTGCCGCCAGTCCTCAACGGGGAGTCAAACGGCGACCGCGCAAGTGACAAAACTTATTAACTAATCTATAGGTCAGAGCTTAGCGTTTGACCAGTTAGTAGAGACGTATGTATAAAAATAGATGATCTATTCGACATTTTTATTGTTTAATATAAGTCGCACCTTAACAATAAAGTGATTAAATTCAAAGAGTAGTTTTAGGGAAACTAAAAGAATTTATTTAAAAAAAATAGCATAAATGCCATGTGGCTGATGCCATATACGACAACATTCTGTTTAAAATAAATAGGTATGTATTTTTTTATTCATATTTTCAGTCAGTTTCCCAAAAATGTCACAATTCGAATATCGTCATTCTCACACGAGACATTTGTTGTATCTCAAGATTTATAAAGATCATCTTTGAGCTGATTTTACATTTATAATACAATAGAAACCTCGTCTGTAGACAAGTATATATAGGGTTATATAATTGCAATACAGTAAATATTTTGTGATAGTTCGAAATGTTTTATCTTAATAGAAAAGAGAATTGACATAAAAGCAAATTACGATGTATCGATCTCAATTCTACGATAATACAGTCACGTGCATTAATATGGCGTAATTAATGTTCTATTTTGTTTTATTTGCATTCCACAATGTACAAGGTTTTATTTATTAAAAGAATCACATCATGAACCCTTTCCGACACAGCAAAGTAGAAGGGAAGAGAGTAAGTAGGTTGTTGTTAAATGTACATTCGATGCCATATGATACTGACCCCTTAGCCGACCATTTGGTTCTGATTAATGTCAAGAAAAGTGTTAAACAAACTTAAAATATTATGTTAAGAACCTGTACGCTGTAAAGTTATTTAAAAATTATATTTTAAGAAACTTTTTAAGCCAATTTCGACGTTGGAATGGTAACGGTAAAAGAACGGTGATTTACCATAATTTTTGTAAGAAAAAAAATCATAAAACTATACGTATATGGAAAAGCTGAAACTTTCTAGTTGTCCATATATTTTTATAATGTCAAGGGACGGGATGAACAAGTCGTGCGCCTGATGGTAAGCTACACGCCTGTCCATAACAGTTGCAGTGCCACTCAGATCTTTAAATCGCAAAGATCTGAGGGGCACTGCCACTGAGCCCGTCACCCTGAGACAAATTGACAGTCCCATGTGCCTGTAATTTCACCAGCACCCTTACCCTTCAAGTAATGTTCACGTTACTGCTTGGCGGCAAAAATAGGTAAAGGGGCAATGCTTCCCTGGACGAACTCTCTTACTAGGAGATCTACTGCTTTTAAAATAATACAAATAAAATTAGAATTATGATTTTAATATTAATATTTTCTGTAATACTTTCCAAATGCACGCTAGACGTTTTACCTTTCCAGCGTCGATTTGATCTTAAATGTACACTTACTTAAGAATCGATACTACTTTGGCTTGAATTAAAATTTTTCACATATGGTTAATTTAGCTTGGGTTGTGTGGCAGCGACACCGGCTTTATTTCAGAATTAACTTTTTTACATACGAAATTACAGCCGTTTGAAAAATGTACATCGTTTACTACACGTGTTCTATTTAATTCAGTTGAAAAAAAAATCATTGGTATATGTGCCTATTGACTACAGCGGTTTTCTTGTAAAATTTCGAGGTAAGTTTGTGTTTTTTTCTATCGTGAAAATTTATAGGAATCGTGTTTTCACAGCGTGTAGTAAGCAGTGTACATCCTCAATTTTACTATATATTTTTTCGTATGTGATTGATTCAACAGTTTCACTGTTATGCGCAATCAACCAAAGCTATTTGAGGTTGTATAGACTCTTCAATACATAGTACTTTTTCAACCATAAATGCGTAAGAAGGCTCTCTGAATCAAAAAGTCGGCCAAAGGTCAAACACCTTAGGGCATTTACTGTGCTATGAAGAATTAATTAATGTTATAATAACATTTATTTATTAATATATCCTTTAGTTTTTTTTTTTTAATAAACCAGAATTAAAATTCGATTGAGTTTTTTTTATCTGCATTCAGTTGACCAAATTTTAAGCAGGTGAGTTGAAGTTTAGTGAAATGTGGAAATTAGAGCCATTGCCCTATCTCCAGTTCATTAGGTGACAACAGCACTCCTTGTCATAACTAACGCATTTGCATTTCTGTAACTTGTGAGATATTGGCGCCTAAAGTTTTATTGTCATCTAAAATAAATGTCAATTACGCAAAGGGTGAGGCCAGACGAGCGTAATTTTGTGACTTGTGAGTCGCGTAGTTTGAGTTGACGACTCAAAATAAGTTATCTGCCGACTCACGGGCGTAATGACGACTGGCTTTTGGTCGCATCGTGCGACGTACTGGCGCGGGTGGAGGTAGGGGTGAGGGAAGGGGGTCACTTTGGTATAAACGTTTAAAAGCAACTGAATAAAATACGTTAGTCTGGCGCTCCAATCGAATTTCGGTCGTGCGCAAACTACGCAACTCAAAAAACGTAACTCACAAAATTACGCTCGTCTGGCCTCACCCTTAACCTGAAATTTTTGAGTTTATTTAATGGCAGGATGTTTGACCACCATGATATTAAATTATTTATGTGAAACTACAATAGTTTGTAATAATTATTAATATCGAATACTACAAAAAAATTCCTTTATCCGGCTATATTCGAATCGTCGCCTTCAAGCATACCGGAACTACGGAACGAATCAGTGGGCCTTATAAATTTTTCTATGTGCTTGTTGGAGATGTTTCTTTTTGGTTTTTAACGACTGTGTTACCGTAGCGCCATCTGTCAGAAATGTATGTAAACAAATTCGTAAGTTTCGTTGGTTCGTTCCGTGGCGTCTGGCACGGTTTGCTGGAAGACGTTGATTCCAGCCGTATCGAAGGATTTTTTTTAGCTCCTTGTATTAAAAGAAAGATTTCATTATTTAAAGCATATTGCGAAAACTTTTACACAAGCAGCCTGTAAGTGAAGTACACGCAGAGAACCCTGAATACATTAAGGATGCAATATAACAACGCTTTTAGGATGCTAATGGGGCTGCCGCGACACTGTAGGGCATGTACACGGAGGCGCACACAGATGGCTTTCATGTTATTATGCGCAAGAAGGCTGCCTCACTCATGATGCGTGTGCGCGGCAGCGCTAATAGCATTCTAGCCGTTGTTGCCTACAGGCTGGACTGCCCCTACCAACTACATTGCGTGCAACTACACGTGCGTAGGGTATAGGTCTAGATTCACTTTTCACTAAAATTAAGTAATTTTGTATTGTACTAACCATAGCACGTAAGAAAAATTTACTGTATTACTAACATTATTATGGATCATGGTCCGAAATAAATAATTCTATTCTATTAATCAATAATTAATAAAACTGAAACTAAATAAGGTTTTTAAAAATCGCTTATAGGGGTTTGTAGACGTCGTTTCGCTTGTCCCAGATGTGTTAATAACTAAATTTCGCTAAAAATCGATTAAGTTAGTTTTAATAAGGAGGGCAGAGCACGCGGGCCAATTGGTTGCGATGAGCGCCTATTTGATGTCTGTAATTTAATCGTTATACTTCTTAAATAAAATGGTTCAACACATACAAGGACACGTAAAAACCTCAGCAATTTATTTTCAAGCTTCTCTTCAAGAACCCTCTGCATTTTCAGATAGTAAGCGATTTCTGGGTTAGTAATTAATTAACCGATTTCAAAAAAAGGAGGAGGTTCTCAATTCGACTGTTTTTTTTTTTATGTGTGTTACGCGATAACTCCGGTTTTGAAAATTTGTGAATCGATTTTGATGATTCTTGTATTGTTGGAAAGAGGTTACTTCGGATGTGTTCCCATTTAAATTTGAAGAAAATATTCCACCTCTAAGGGTGGCAAACTAGGGGATGAATGACTTTTGTGGTCGGTTTTTTTTATTACTCTGTACTATTTTTTGCAAAATAAAACTGGGTTAAGAATCATTTTCGAGTCATTGTAGCATTCCAATAAATATCGCACCTTTTACGACAGTTAAACTTACATTTTTGTTAGGAATAATTTTTATAGTTCAACTCCGAATTTCATATCTTATGTGATGTCAGCACGCATAGACTTTGATGTGGACACGTACCAACAATTTTTTGTATATTATTGAGAGTAAATTATCCAAATTGCAAGATATATGTAATTCATCATTTGCTCATGCATTGTGTCAGGACGGAACCTATCAGGGTGCGGTTATAGCACAGCTTGGTTTTGGTCTCTTAATGCTGGGTGGTGGAGTCAACAAGTAGTGCCTCGAAAATTTTCTAGACATATTTAATTAGGTAGTATAATGTATCTGTTTGAATTCTATTAAGTGTTTTTTTATGTATTGTTTTGCTAATAAAGCTGACATGCTCAATATTGATCAAAGAAGAAAAAAAAAATCCATGCTATATTTTAATGTAAATAATTAATTTTCAACCAAATTGTATATGTAAGATACAACTTGTCTTGATCAAATTCAATGTTTTCTCTATATATACATATAAATGCACGTGACTGTACTTTTCTCTCTTTATCAAGTAAATAAAATGTTAAACATCTGAAAGGCTGACAAATTAGATTTTTAACCTTCGCTATGTGGTGTTTATTTTTTTCTGTCGAGTCTACAGTCGGATTGTTTATTAGATACTGGCAGTTAGTAATGTGACTTATAAAAGTAACATTGCCATTGTTGTTGAACAATTCATCTGCTAAACTATGTTAATCTTTACATGATGGAAGTAACATTTTTCTGTTATCAAATAATTGTTTTTTTATTTTTTATTTAATACCGACTAATGATATATAAAATATATAAATTACATTGATTTTGTACTTGTGAGTCGAATTTTAAGACATTATTTTTGTTACATCAAAAACTGGCAACCCACAAGGCTGAAATTTAGAAAACAAACTGCTTAAAGCACGAAATGAAATTAATATTTTCATTTTACTATGTTTAATAAGAAGTATTTAGATGTTAGTTTTATAAATTTCTGCCTAAACCATTGACTTACAATTATATGGACGTCGGGTCCGCGCTAAAAAGTGTCCGAACTTATAGGGCGTTAAAATCGTATACAGAGCGTCATTCACGCTTTAGTCTTCGTTTGTTCGACTGACAGCGAAGCAAGCAAAATTAGACAGTACTGCGATGACATTACAATTTAAATTCAACGTTTTAGCTTTTTCATATTCCTTTACATGTCATTACGTTTAAATAGGTTGACTTGGGACATTTTTTTCGTGGTTTTTGTATTAGACCCGTTGTCCATTTATTTGTAAGTCAATGGCCTAAACACTAAGTTTGTTACCTCTAGTTAATATCCGATGAAAAATAATACGACAGCCTTTCTATTTTCAGATTACGGTACCCATTGAGTATGTGTGTCTTTGATAACGGTATGTACTTCTAAGAGTTACATATATAATGTCGATTCGAGCAAACAGAAGGTTAAATTAAATTTAGTGCATCTCATTAGCATTAAAGACAGGAGATTATTTTTTTGTTTAGTTGAGCTGTAATGTTTTTTTTTTAATTTAATATCTATTCGTGATGAAAGCATGCTGTTTAAAGTTAAGCGGACAACCATTTTGACATTTGTTTTAGCTATTTTCCTAATGATGAAGAAACATTGCATTCGAATTTACTTCAGTTTGCGTCTATTGGAATCGCCGCATACATTTTATTCAGGCTTTTGTTTTAAAAAATACTCTAAAAAGCGATATCTTGATTTTATTTAGTGTGAACATTGATTTTATTTTTTGAGTCTTCAATACATATCGATTGTTACACACCGGAGATGAAAATTATTTTTTTTTTCGGATTTAAATCGCGTAATGTTAGATAACGTTTAATATTAAACATAACTGGTTGATGAATTTACCATTTCAGTCAGCCGTAACCGTGGAACCTGTAAAGGGCCGAAACGTAGCCACGTTGAGGCAGCAGGCACTGGTTGGTCCAGTCTGATCGGAGGATTTTTTGTTCGTGTTTGTTCAGTCTTTGTATCAATAACACGTGATTTACATCCGAA